ATGTTCCCACTGATCCCAGTAACTGATGTTCCCACTGATCCCAGTAACTGATGTTCCCACTGATCCCAGCAGAGCATAGGAGCAGCTTGGGCAACTCACACGAAAAAGCATGGAATCAGGATGCTAAGCTAACAGCTAACTAGGTCCTCAGGAGGTGGCAGGTCTGGATGCTCTAATGTGGGCGGAGCCTAGCCACTGAGGAACTGTGTCCTCTACTGAGACCAGCGTTAGCAAGGCGTTTAGCTGTGTCTCACTGCGCTGTCCTCAGATTATCAGAGGAAAACTAGGAAAGAAAACTTCCTCGGTGTTTTTCCAGCATGCACAGTTGGTTTCATGAGAAGAAGAAAGTGTAATTTACCGCGGTTACCTGGAGTTCCCTGGTTTCCTCCTCAGTGGCGGAGGCGTGGTAGGACAGAACCTGGAACACAGGCAGATAGACGGCAGCTTTACAAGTCTGACTGTAGCTTCCTGATCCACTGCTAAGGATGATGTCGTATCTAACATCAGATGGAAACAGGCCTTTCAAAGGGATCCATGAAGCTCGTGGGTCAAAGGTCAGGAGGCCCATCTGAGGCCCAGTCAGACAGAGGCTGTGTCTGAACGCCCGCCCTAACCACTATATATTGGTTACGCCCTTTTAGACAAGTGTCCGAACATCCAGTGGATGAAAAAGGAGTGGACTTTCCCACAATGCACCTTGAAAAGTAGTGATCATCCATGGTCACTAGACGGGAAGATATCTCCCAGAATGCATCATGGGATTTGCTGTTACAGCGGCCTGCTGTTGTTGCCTACGCTTGTTGCTACCCGACACTGGCGAGAAAAAACAAAGATGGCGCAGGCACCGTGGGGGGAGGTCTAGTCTGGTGACCAACAGGTAGCGGAAAGTAGTGATCATAAGTCTGAACGGTCAGAACGGTCACTAGAGGGGAACTGGAAGTGAATTAGAAGTGAAACTGAATTAGAGTTGAACCAGAACTAAATTAGAGGTGAACCGAATTAGAGGGGAAATTAATTAGAAGTGAATTAGGTTCAAACTTAACTAGAAGTGAAACTGGAACTGAATTAGAGGGGAACTGGATTGGAGGAGAACTGGAACGTAATTAAATGTGAATTGAAACCAAATTAGAGGGGAACAGGAAGTGAAGTAGAGGGGAACAGGAAGTGAAGTAGAGGGTAACAGGAAGTGAAGTAGAGGGGAACTGGAAGTGAAGTAGAGGGGAACAGGAAGTGAAGTAGAGGGTAACAGGAAGTGAAGTAGAGGGGAACTGGAAGTGAAGTAGAGGTGAACAGGAAGTGAAGTAGAGGGGAACAGGAAGTGAAGTAGAGGGGGAGAGGAAGTGAAGTAGAGGGGAACAGGAAGTGAAGTAGAGGTGAACTGGAAGTAAAGTAGAGGTGAACAGGAAGTGAAGTAGAGGGGGGGCAGGAAGTGAAGTAGAGGTGAACAGGAAGTGAAGTAGAGGGGAACAGGAAGTGAA